GAATGACAATTTTTAAAATTGAATTTCAACATTTAATTGGTGTAAATTTCCGTTTAATTTAAAATGTTATACATTATTAAACATATATTTAGAATAAGCTGGCAGAGTGTAAATGTCCTGTTTGGCTGGCTTTGCAGATTATTCCAAGTGATCTTGTTACAGCTTTGCTTTAAATATGGACCTGTTCCAAACATGAGGTTCTCTGACAAGGGCTTTGTAGACACATAAAAAAACAATCATTACTATGTTTGTCAGTCAAGGAAATCAGCCGAACTTAAAATCCAGTGGTGAGCGAGGTTGCTGAACAAGATGATCTCAGTGCACTGCTCTGTAACTTTTTATTCCTCTTTGTCTTATTCTATTAATTCACACTTTGTCATATTTCTTTGACCGATAGATGAAAATATGAAAAACAAACATGTCAGCAACATTCAGAATAACAGAGTGCTTCTGGTATTTGTAGTTTTTCTGTTAAAACAAACACTAAAACAAATTATTGGTCTTCATTTCAAATACAAAATATGAAAAACCCATTGAGCTGGCTTCCCAGGCCATTCTGTTCTTCTTGTAATGTCTTTAGCCTGTGTACAGATGCCGAAGTGAAACTAAACACGTGCCCATACATGCACATCACAAGGAAACAAATCAGTTTCAATGATTTGTTTGTTTAAATCTCAATTTCAAAGTTGATCCACAAGAAAGAAGCTGCAGGTGCAGAAACACAACCTGAGTCCTGTGGAGTGACTGTTGTAAGAGTAACTGTGCGTAACTGCTTTGAAAAACCTGATTGTTGTCTTCATAGTGCTGCGAAAAGGGCAAGACAGAGCAAGTTTATTTAAGGAGCACCATTCAGACAAAAGGCAGTTCAATGTTCTTTGCAGAGACGTAGAAATACATTTATCATAAAATACTAATAATAATAAAACTGCATTTAAAAGATAATAAAGCAAAAGCAAAAATAAGAAAATGAATAGATAAAGATTAAAAAGAGGTTCAGTTTGTAAGTTATTGGGAAGCTGCAGCAGGAATGTTGTTAGTCCTAACCCTAACCCTCAGGTTATCAGGAAGATTGTTCTACAGGTAGGGAGCACAGCAACTAAAAGGAAACCTGTCCCAGATGACCTGAGGGCCAGGGGAAGACTCCATCCCAGGACACCGTGTTCATGCGAACCACCAGACCGCTAATTTTGTAGGTACCAGACTAGTTATAACTTTGGACACTATGTTCATCTGGAAGGAAAATGATCCACTTTATAAAATGCAAACATTTGGGACTGACCAATAAGTGGCTGAATACTGAGTTTTCATGGTATGCTATGGCTGTAGGTGAACCCCCAAAAAACTCTCCAGGAATACACCAATCATAGCACCACGTACAAGGATAGACACACAAAACATTTAGCCTTCACTTTTTAAAAAGCGAATGAGATAGAGTTAGCTTAAATGTTCAAATGATTACCTTTACATTCAAACATCAAGCATATCAAAAGCACCAAAAAACTTCACACACACATTTACTGAAACTGAACATAAGCTGGGTGTGTCGTGTGTGTGTTTTAGCTAGCGTTTTTCACTGACCTGGTCTCTTACTGGTGAACATGTCGCATACTTAGAATTTAGCTGTGTCTGTGGCCTTTCTCTATTTTATTCTCCCCCTCTCTGCTCCACCTTTCTTTTTCTTCTGACCATGACGACTGACCATCCACTTTACCTGGTACCTTGTCTAAACTGATATTGGTGGAGAGGCAGGAAGACGTTGCCATGTGCGTCGCCGAGAAACGAACCATAGTTCATTCCTGATGTATGGATGAGTTCTGAGAGGTCCCTCAACTCATGTCTTGTATATTTTCAATATGTTGCAACCGTCCCTGATCCATGTTGCAACTTTCACCAGGGTTGGTGTCAGTTGCAACATCTGAATTCTTCTATTCAAATAAATATTGTGAATGATAAGTCATATGTAATCATCTTTAAATGGTATGGGTGATTAGCAGACAGATGTAAGTTTTATATTGGTTTGTCTAGTTTGTCTGTGTGTCTGAGAGAAAGGAACATGGATTGAGGATGCTGGTATTAAGTCAACTGGCTTTCTGAGGCCTCTTGCTGTATGTTTTAATAAATATCAGTCAGTGGTGTTGGATTCCCCTGTGGCTCAACCTCTGGATAATTAATGTTGAACTCAATTCAGCATTAACCACACCCAGAGCTTGTGCACATCTTCCTCCATCCCATCTGAAACGTGTTCTCTGTCCTCTTCCTTGTTCCCAGCACTCTGAAATTGTGATCCATTCTATAAATGAATAAATATTCTTTTAAATGTTTACAACACAATATATTTCCACTACACACTCTGAAACACACTCATTTTAACTTTGCATGCATTTGCTAACACAATCAAAAGGTTCTTTATTCACAGTAAGATCACACACATTTAAATCATTCTAGATGATAACATACAATATTGTCCCAAAAATGAACAAATAGGCATTGAACCATTTCATTCATCATTTCCATCCGAATATAATTAATCAGAGACAGAAAATTTAAACTTAATCAAAAAAAATATGGTCCTAAAAGCAGGGACATAAAATAAAAACAAAAATTCTTCATCTGGATCTGAAGTTGTCTGAGGAACAAGCTGAGGAAATGTTAGACAGCTCAGCTCCCAGTCCCCTCAGAGACATCCTGTCCTGTGTCACTGAACTGTGTCAGTGAATCACTGGTTTTTTTAACATGAAATTCCTTTATTCCTTGTTTCTACTGGTTTTAATCTCCTGGTCTGTTCGTTTTGGAGGGCTGTGCACTGTTCCGTGTACCACTGCAGGCTTTGAGGGTTTTTATCGAAAAACATTTTCCCCCAGTCATGCTTTGGCTCTACTTTCTTTCTGTCGCTGTCGCATCATCCCGCTGTGACGTCATCCACCAGCCCAGCACCCACAAACTCTGGGAAGTTTGGGACTCCAGATGTTGCAGTGATGAAAAACTTCAGTGAGCGTTTCACTGTGGGACAAACGTTTTTCAGACATTCAAATTTATTGTTAATTAGTTGAGAACATTTGAATTTCTGTTCAATCACTATGGGTCAAAACGAATAAACTGTGAAACTGAGCCACGCCTGTTCTGTGCTTAGTTTCGAATAGCTCTATCAATGTTAGCTATTAGAAGACACACCTCCCTATGGTATTTGTAAAACACTGACAACACTAAGCTGCTCACTGCAACAAAACGTGTAGTTGTACTTGTATTTATGTGTTTATTGAGTTTAAGTGAACCATATGAAGAGCTGCCAGTCTATACAGAAACATTATGTATATGCTCTGTTGACGGTACTATCAGTGGACACACTCGTCCTGCTCTACAGGAGCTTGTGAGCCAAATGAAACTGCTGCTGCAGCAAAGAGCTGGAAGATTAAAAAGTTTTCTTACCTGGAGATGAGACGTGACAGAAGAGGAGCAACAAAAATAATTTCATCTTTGACTGAAAAAGCTGAATAAAGAGCTGAAGAGCTGAGAATCAACTGATGTGAACTTTTGCTTTGGTGCAATGATGTTTCTTGGTTTCATGATATGAGGGTTTGGTTTCTGTGATATGAGGCATGTTCACCTCTTAATGGCTCCTTACAGGTGAACAGGAACTTTTCCCTGACCAATAAGAATTCATTCACATTATTATTGTTATTATTGTTTGTTGTTGTCAGCTCTAACATGTGTGGCACATGGACCTGGATCATTTTTGAAAGGTCTGTGTGTTTCATGTAAATGTGTGTCAGCTTTTGTTCCTGTTGACACTCCTTCTGATCTGCCTGCACTTGTCTACCTGCTCAGTCCGAAGTCCAAAACACACTGCATCATTTAATACATAATGTTTTGCAAAATTTGCTACCTCACAGCTGATGTGTCAAATTCTTTTATATTTAATATACAGAACGGCACAGAATACTGATCAAATCATTTTTATTTGTTTATCATTCTTTATCTCATCTTACATAATCTAAATTCTAATCTCTCTCCACGTCCTGTAATAAAAAAACCTGCTTAACCTGCTTCTGCTCTTGGTTTACTTTTTCTTTTGCTTACAGATCAGAGGTGGAGATTGTGTTAATAATCTCATTCAACTTTAAGAGGAATCATAACTATAAGCCCATTTTGAACAGGAAAAGAAGTTTTTTTAATGTTAGACACAATTGTATAAACTTAAAATAAAACAAGAATCTGTTCGATCATGTGTACACTGCAAAGATGATTACATGTCGGCTGGCTTTGAAGATTTAACAGAGCTACTGGTTTGCTCTTTTCTCCTTCACGTTAAGCTAAGCTAAGACAAACTAAGCTAAGATGAACTTGTCTGGGAGCTAACTGCTCAGAGTTGACAATCATATTGATTTTCTCATCAAACTCAAAACATCGTCACCAAAAGAAAGAGCAAAGTATTCGATTTTCATATTCAGTGTGCACACTTACTAATGATAAAATGACAGAATTATATGTAGGAGCCATGAATGATTGGAGGACTGGATTTTTGTCACAGTAAAGTTGACCTTTGACCTTTGACCACAAAATTCTTACCAGTTCATCCTGAGTCCAAGTGAATGTTTGTGACAGATGTAATGAAGTTCCCTCTGGGCGTTCCTGATACATTGCATACGCAAGAACGTGAGGTCACCGTGACCTTGAACTTTGACCCTGAAAATCTAATTGGTTCATCCTTGAGTCCAAGTGGACATTTGTACCAAATCTGAAGGAATTCCCTCAAGGTGTTACTGAGATACATATACCCAGATCATGATACACCATCATCAGCAACATAAGACCATGAAAACTGGCAGGTGAAACTTTTTTCTTCCCGTATGAAGCATCTCACTGAGTGTGTCTGACACTCAGGTTTCTGGATACAGTCTCATAGAGAGCTCAGCGCCGTTGTCAGGGGCTGTAAGATCAGAAACATGCTGTTGATCCACTCCTGCTGCAGTGCACGTGTTCTTCTTCCAAACCAGGAAAACAGGCACAGCAATGAGGACAAGGGCAGCAACAGCCACTGTCACCACAACAGCGATGGTGATGGTCATGTCAATGGACTTTTCTGTTGAACAAAAAACAAAACAACACAAAAAAATGAAGACGGATACAGACAAAGCAGGTTAGAACAGAATCATATTCATCAAAACTGAGGAGTTCAAACAGTATAATCAGTGATTCTGGCTTTTATCTTAAAAGTGTACGTCTATGAAACTAGTATGAGTTGGACTGGAACGAAAGACACAAAAAACTAAATCAATAAAAACATTTAAATGATCACAGTTAAAGTTCTGTTCAGTTTAGCAAAGTAGATAAAACCCAATAAAATCCTGTTTTATAGGTGTCACCACTGGCTGCGTTCTGTGTTATTCTGGGTGGAGTAAAGAATGGACAGGCAGCACAAACCTGTTATTTGATGGTGAAAACAATGTGCTCTGTAAAATGCTTCAAAACAAAAACCTTGTTGGGCTCAAATGATCTGACCACTGATCCTGGGGCGTAGAATTTCTTAGATTGAATTATTTAACTGGTTTATTATGAGTTTTGTTGAAGATGAATTTGCAGCTGAACTGGAGAACAAGAGCTAAAATACCCAACAAACCACAGACATGACGTCACATTCAGGAACCGCTGATCTCACTCTTACCTTCGTTGGTCCTAATCACGGCTTTGTCCAGTTTGGTGACGATGTCGTCCTCAACACCAGAGAGCTGAAACACACAGTCGTACCTCCTCCAGTCTTCTGGATTGATGGATGATATATTGAGGTCAACTCTCATCTGGAAGGTTCCATCATGGTTGGGGAGGATCTCTCCTTGGTCCACGTCCTCATGAAGCTTCTCTCCATCTTTCCTCCAGAACATCACAGCTCTGTGAGGGAAGAAACCTGTAGCATGGCAGCTGACTGGAGAGGAGGGAGTCTTCTGGAGGAGAGACACTGAGGGACGCTCTGGAGAAGGGGGGGGGGGTATAGAAAATGAAGGTAGAAGTAGTGATGGAGAGTGAAGGGGATAGAGAAAGAGATAGATATGTGTTTTCAGTTGTAGATAATTGTGGCTGACCAACCCAACCCAAAGGGAGCTCAATCAACAACATGCAACAAGCAAAGTAAATAAATAACAACAGGACAAAGAGTCTTCAGCCATGTTAGCAGCTCTGTGCTGTCAGCTAAAATACTAATGTCTGCATGCTAACAATAATAATAGCAGCATGGTGATGTTTACCAGCTACAATACCATCTTAGTTCAGCCTGTTAGCATGTCAATATTTACATGTAGACTCAGAGGGGAACAACACCACAGCTTGAAAATACATTTTCAAGAAAGTCGCTACAGTCAGAGAAGAAGACAGTGGTCAAACAGCATCTTTCTCTTCTAACAATGAAACTTACTTCACTCATAGTAACTGTCCACTGACTATCACCAGCTGACTGAAGTGATGTCAGAGCACCAGACATGTCCGTCTCTACTGATTGGTCAGGAGCAACTCAACTCAACACTGGTAATTCAGTCTGAGTAGTCTATATGAATATTGTTGTGTTCATGAAACTACATCAAGTCATGTGATTCTACCTGTTCTCAGCAGAGAGCTTTTCCCATAGTCCAAACTCTTCTTCAGCCAATCAGGACAAATCCGAGTTAAAAAGTCCTTATTGTATTTCATTCTCGCCATGTCAGCGTCCCATCTCAGTTTGGTGACCACAGCCTGTGGTTTCAGAGCGATCCATGTCAGTGTCTTCAGGTCCAAAATCAGGATATCTTCTCCATCATAACCATACTGATGAAAACCAATACCTTCTTCAGTCTCATTGTCCCATTCACAGCCATTTATCTTCTGTAAAATGTGGACGCCTGAAACGGAGACAGAGACACAACAGAGACTGAAGGTAATATCTCCACCAGTTTCAGACTGAGAGCAGCTGTTATGTTGGTAATAATAAGACTTGTTTGCATGGCGGTTAGATTTCTGTCTGACCTGCTGAAATCAGTAAAGGTAACCTCGTCAGATCAAGGCAGCTGCAGTTTTCAGTCAGGTGCCACAGTTGCTCTTCACCTACTGCATAACTTCATTGCATGATGGGTAACACCTGGCAGTCACCTGATATACAGAACTTTGACCAATAACATTACGTGTTACAGACAGTCTGATTTTGTCTGATGAAAGTTCACTCTTACTGTACAAAATGTGTATGCTGTTTGTGATGACAACTTTTCTCAGCCTCGAGAAGCAGTTTAACTGAATTAATACCAAATATTCCAGATACAATATCAGAACCAACCTAGTTGTTTCATTTGTTGAGTATTATCAGAGTCCTTACAGGCAAGTCTCACCACTCGGCAGCCATCTTGGCATCGCACCTGCGCATTTATTTCAGGGTAACAAGACCCGGCTCATATCTAAGTGAGCAATAAGTCCTCCGATCCATACGAGCATGTCGGTCGTTTGTTCCTACCCTCAAATATGTCTCATAGGAGTGTCTCCTGAAGTAGCGCCCCTATGGCGGCATGTGTTACCATAATAAACACGCAACTGTACCGAGAGCAGTGTAGAATGTATGTGTTCTTGACTTTTCATTGGGTCACCTTTCAATGATGTCATATCCTCTTTGTGCATGCCTCAGCGTTATATTTGTCAGTCAAAATTGACTTCATTATCCAGTTTTAAGCCACATTTTTGTAATACATTTTTTTAGATCGAGATAGTTGTTAACTATATAATTGAACTGGATGAAGGATTTTAAACATCAGAGTAAAATAGTCTGGATCTTATCAGAGTAAATGTTAGCAGCTTGGCTCCCAGCCGCTCCAGGGTGGCGCTACATAAATCAATAAATAAAAATAAATAAATTAGTAAATAATTCGGAAATAAATGTGCAAATGAATAAATGTGGAAACAAATACATTTTCACATTTATTTTTATTATTTGGCATTATTTTATTAATCAAGGTGATTTATTATTTCCTGTGTCACTTTTGGGCCCCCATACTGAAGGGTCACTTTAGAACTAAGATACAGTGTGGCAGTAAAAAACGGAAATATACTGTACCTCCACTTTGGTTGAACTCTTTCTTCAAACGGAAAATAGTAGCTTTAAAGAGGTCGGGCTGGTTATAAGAACACTCTGCAGTGTACCACTCCAGCTGCTGCGGGTTGTCATCTAAATATTCTTTCCCCCAGTCCTGTTTTGCCTCTACTATCTTTGAGTCAGTGTTGCAGTAACCCACCACAACGTCATCAACCTGTGCGATAACCACAAGCTCAGGGAAGTTAGGGACTCCAGAGGACGCAGTGACGAAATACTTCAGGGAATGTTTCACTGTGGGACAAACAAGGTTTTCATGATAAATACACACGCATTATAAATATGATACGGTGCCTATAGAAAATCATGAATACCCATTTGAAATAATTACTTTATTTGTTGTACAAGTTGAAATCACAACCCATTAAAAAAAAAAAACTGTTCCAGTCCACCTGTTGCGTCCTGTATTGAATCAATACATTTGTCCCGTATTTTCGTTCATGTTATGTCCTCAAAGTGCTGTGAATAATGCAATGTCAAGTAAAACCAAACCAGTTGTAGCCTACAAGTGGACTGGAGAAGTTTATCAAATAGCAATAGATTGACAAGCTCTGTGTGCTGTGAAAAATGCAGAGGATAGCGGTACAGCCTCTAGTGGTTTACCTGGTAGAGCGCATGTCATTAAGGCTTATTGCAAATGGCAGTGGTGTGAGGCCCTTATTTTCTCACATAAAAGGTAGCAACACTAAGTGAGAAGCAGGAGGAAAATGCAGAACCTACCTGCTGATGAAACGTGACAGAAAAGAGTCAACCAAAGTAACTTCCTCATCTTGTTTTGTTCGTCCGTTGCTGTCTCTCGGTGGATGGGAAAAAGGTGGAGCCAAGAAAAAACAGTTGTTGACAAACCAGTATTCAGCTTGTCCTCAGTCTGCAATAACTGCTGTATGTTTTTCTGTATCACAGGGAGCCTATTAAAATTCTACATGGGCATCTGTGATAATCATGAAAGCGTTCACCACGCAAAAATCCACACGTTCTGGCGGGAACAGGAGGGTCGCCTGCTCCTTCTCCTTGCAGGTGATTCCAGAATTGGCACTATCCACACTTCATAAATTTGCATGTCTTAACATAGAGCAGTGTTTCCTCTACATTCATTTAGCAGTGGTGGCCCGCCACTGCTAAATCATAGCCGCCACGCCTTCAAATTTCTTTTTTTTTCTTTCTTTTTTTTTTATTGTTGCAAATGCACCACCGCCACATCTCTCCACCTTAATTCACAGCACAGTCTGTGTGATGATGAGCGCAACAGCGGGGGGACGGAGGAGAGGGGAGGGAGGGAGTGGGGTGGTTGGGGGATCCTATTGGAGTTAATTACTCGCGAGAGCGCGGCCTTGAAAGTGACGTCACGTCAGGTACCAGGTCAGAGTCAGAGAAGTGTAGTCGTGAGGAATAAGGCAGCGAATTACCGGAGAAAAGGTAGACTTATTAGCCAACTCAGTGACGCTAACTTGGGTAAACTAATTGATAGCATTAAGCTAATATCTACACGTCATCACGTCTACAATATCTACACGCCCCCCCCCCCCCCCCAAGAGCATGCCCCCACTGCTGAAAAAAATCCTAGAGGAAACACTGTAGAGGTTATGAATATTTGCATTATTAATAATAGGCCTAATATAAAATAATAATGACATTATAAATATCTGCTTTTTTATAGGCTACAACTTATTGAGAAAATGTAACTTCAATATCACTATTGACATCATTTAATGTGGTGTGTTTATCTAAGTGCACACTGGATGGCAGTATTACAGCACAACCTGTTGAAACTTGAGCAGAGGGGGAGGAAAGAAAGAACTGTGGCTCAGTTAGCCTTAGATTTCTCTGTAAACTGTCTAAGATCCTTTGTGATGACTGGCGACAGTGTTTTCCTTTTCAACGAAAACACACATATGGTCTGTTGTTCACCTTCTGGACAGGAATGAAAACCTGTAGAGACAGAACAGGTGAGGGGCGGGCTGGAGTGGAGCAAGGCACACCTGAACTCACATATACTGTATATAAAAGGACACTTAAACTTAAACAGATGCTCACATTGTTGAATTGCCTCAGCTTGTCTTTCATAAGTCTCAGTGTTTTAGTCAGGAGTTTTAACTCGGCTAGTTCTTGATCTAACATCATCACTTCAAACCCAGTGCTGCGTTGTTCAGGTAAAACATATAATATGACATGACGTTGACTGAAGCTCACGGTGCTTGAGGTTAACCTCGTTAAGACTTCACTTCCTGTTACTATAGTAAAGAGGCTAAAGTGTGATTAACTGATATTACTGAGCAGCAGCAAATAATCTGAGCTAATTCACTTTTGAATCCTACATTTAGCGGTAAAATTCAGTCTAGATTTGCCAGAATGATAATTGTACACTACTATTTGTGTCACTGGTGTTCAGGCAGCAATGGTTGAGATCATTCATAAGAAAAATTAATCATGTTATGACTGCACTTATTTTAAGTCAGACTTCCACAGAAGGAAGGAAGGAACATATTGGTGTATCTGTCTGTCATATGAGCTAGATCATCGCTGGAAATGTCCTGGAAAAGTCCTGGAAAATGATCTGTAGAAGAGAGTAGCAACCCTGATGTATTCGTTTGTGTGTTTCTTAAAGGAAAGTCAACAGGGAGTTTGATTTCAAATTCCTGTAGTTGTTCTAAATATTTATATGAAAAAGTTTGAAGAATATTCCTTTAAACCATTAAGAATAAAAGAGACAAAAGACAAATACAATGACACAATAATGATTAATTGAAAAATTATTTCATGATTAATTGTAAACATATACTATACATTACATATAATTTGGGATCATAAATAAAGTATAATGTACTCATCACAGATTAAAACCAGAAATGTAATTGGGTTTAAAGCTACTGTGTTGGGGTGGAAGCAGATATCTTTGAGGCAGATAACCTCAGCAAGTAAAACCAAAACTGTATGTTTCCTGACTTACATGCAGATAGCACTTTTGTGATATGTGATTTTTGCCCAAAAAAACCCCCATAAACCTAAAGAGATGGAAGAACACTCACATCAAACAGAGTAAAGATTGTCCAAAGTTCAACTCCAACAGGGCACATACATGAGGATTTCACTGAGATGTTACTATATTCATCATTCTAGAAAAACGAGCCTGCAGGTCGTCTGTGCAGCGGGTTGTTATGACCCATAGCTATATTTTGTTGTCAGGCCATATCTACTGGCCGCAGTAATTATGACAGAAGCAAAGGAAAAAGTGCGGTGGATAAAGCGAGTCCATGTAAGAAGGGTGGTGGTGGATGTATCGAAAACACAGGAATATGACACAGAAGCGCAGTGCTTGAACAGTGGGGAAGTAGTTTATGTTACTTAATCCATGACCATTCATCGAAGTTAACCACATTGTTGTTATTGTAACCATGACAACAAAGATCATTTAATGTAAAGGTAGTAAAAATAATTATTTTAACAGAAACCACGATATTTTCCTAAACCTCACCAAGTAGTTTTAGTGCCTAAACATAACCATGCCATAACCGTTTATTATTGTAACCATGACAACCAAGGAGTGGTACGCCTGCCACCATATAGGGGCGCTGTTTCAGGAGACCCTTCTAGTGGTGGTATCAGCAGTTGAAAACAACAACCTATATGGTTGTTCAGTTTGGAGGACTGGTTTATTTTTGTCCTTTCTCTTCTCTTCAAAGCTGCCATGTTTTTTTTGTTGACGTGACGATGTCACTGTGTGTGTCTGTAGGATGGTGTGTTTGTCTGCACACACCATCTGTTTGTCTTATTGTTTTGGTGTGATCAGGTTGCTGTGTTCAGTGCAGAGAGTTCAAGGATGTTGTCAGTAACTGTAAAAGTCAGAAATACATTGTTAGTCCACTAAACTACCCACACTGAAATACTACACCTACGCAGTCTTGTTAAATTGTTAATCTGCAGTAAAGTACACGTCTTATCTGTAACAGTGGAATAAAAACAAGTTCTACTTACTAGGTGCAGGGGATTTGGCTGAAAAGACCAAAAAAAAAAAAAGGAATAATTTCAGTTGTCAGAACATTTTTTTGTCTTAGTCTCCACTCTGAATCTCACTCCCTCTCAGATTGATAAACCAATCCCCTCTCACCAACACATTTTGCTTCAGTGTTACGATGAAAGCATCCCCTCAGTCTCTCACCTGTCTTCTTTTTGTGAACAGTAAATCCAATAATAGAAATGAGGATTACAAGAACAACCACTGCAACAATGATGGGGAGGGTCTTGTCACTGCGCGTCTCTGTTCAGCAAAACACAAAGAAACAAAACGTCGTCACATGACGTGCACATGACGTGCACATGACGTGCACATGAAGCAGATAGAACAGAGATACATGTGTTCATCACAATTTTCAGCACATGGGCTTCTGAGGGGTAATGAATCCAGTATAATGAAGTGGCTATTGACATGTGTGTTTAAAGATACACAAGATTTTTTTTTATCTTCTTTTTAATCCAACATCTTTAAAAGAAATAAATGTAGGTAAATGCAAAGAACTCATCTTATTGAGCAACACACTAGACACTAGTGATGAACCTCAACCTCTGACAATCACTGGATCCCCTGTAGAAACTGTCAGTCGTTTTAAATATCTTGAAACTGTGACTGGCGGCCATCTTAACTTTACAGAGAATACTGACTCCACTGTTAAAAAAAAGATGAGATGAAAGAGTGAAATGATTTGATGATAAACTCTGGAAATACTGTATTAGAATCCAGTGGAAAGAATTTTATACTTCAATATCGTTATGTGTAAGAAAACAAAATATGAATTAAATATAAAGATTAAAGCTTTGCAGATTGTAAGTGAGTCCTCTCACCTTTTGTACTTGGACTTTGAGCTTTTTAAGAGCCAAAACAAATGTGTCCACCAAGTCTTTCTTGCCAAATGCAGCTAGACAGCTGAATGCATAGTTTTCTTTGAATCCTCCCATTTCATTTTATTTAACATGATTTTTTATTGTATTCAAATCGCGTTGTTTGTTGATGTTGTGTCCCTGTTGTTGTCCTGTGTTCTCGGTTGTTCTCGGATTTTCCACAACATGGACAATAAGGTTCCTAACTATCAAACTGACCCAACAACCGCTAATGTTACAGGTGTTTCTTAAGCAGAAAACCTGCATTAACCCATTTCAGCCTTCGAGTTTGAGAGAGGAATTGTCTAATACTAAGATATCTTCAGTCATGGGATCAGGCCAGTAATCCCGGTAAAGAAAGACTATAGTTTAACACCAGTCTTAATCTTAAAATCATTAACAACTGTGACAATTAACAAATAGAAAGATAAAAACCTAAACAATGATATCATTCAGGATTAAAAAAATTAAAAAGAAATTTAAATGCGTGTTTATCACCTTGATCATTTCCAATCCCAATCTTTTCCCAGTTGGTCCTGATCACTGGTTTGTGTAGCACGGTGACGGTGTCCTCCGTCACACCAGAGAGCTGAAACACACAGTCGTACCTCCTCCAGTCTTCTGGATTGATGGATGATATATTGAGGTCAACTCTCATCTGGAAGGTTCCATCATGGTTGGGGAGGATCTCTCCTTGGTCCACGTCCTCATAAAGATCCTCTCCATCTTTCCTCCAGAACATCACAGCTCTGTGAGGGTAGAAACCTGTAGCGTGGCAGCTGACTGGAGAGGAGGGAGTCTTCTGGAGGAGAGACACTGAGGGAAGCTCTGGAGAATTAAAAAAACATTATCATTATCAAGGTATGTAATGTATTTTTTTTTAAAAAACAAAATCATCAGCAGTAATTGATACATCTTACTGTTTCAACTTGAAGAACAGTGAATATATCCTGTGCACATCATGCAGTTTACCTCCAACATTAGGGGATGCAAAAGTCTGATTCATGCTGATAATCCAGTTGTTAACTGGATTATCAGATAGGTATATTTAATGTTACTCCGTAACAACTATAAAAAAATAGTCCATTACAAATAAAGGTCCTGCATCCTGTCTAGAGGTTCCTGAGTCCCTGGATAAATTTGGGTTGATTGTGAGATGATTAATGGAGAAAGTTCTGTGACACAAAACTGTATAAATTATTTGAACTCTTTTCTATAATCATAATCATAATTTGACTTTTAACGACCATGAACATTTTATTTATTCAACAGTTTAAAATGAAACCATCTGAAAAGTTTAGAGGGGAAATGTGTTGATGTCACTTGTTTCATCACTAACAATACATTGTATTTCATAAAATTAGCATATTTTTTATGTAATCTTCTAATCTGAAAAGTATCTAATTACTCAATCTGTCCAATAAATATAGTTGACTAAAAAGTAGAAGCTTTCCCTCAGAATTGTAGTGGAGTAGATGAAGTAGCATGAAATGTAAATAGTCAAGTATTGCACTTACGCACAGGACTTGAATAAAAAAAACTGCTTTCATGCCAGACAATGTTACAGGTGCAAAAAAATTCACAGCCCCTTGTGGCCAAGATTTTCACTTGCCGCTTGGGGTTTCTGATGATACTGTCAATAATCTGCCATAATCAGCCGGCCAGGGCCCACTGGTGGGCCACGAACGTATTGCAAGTGGGCCAACAAATCATTTGCTTTGAGAACTAGAGTATAAAAATGGATAGCTGGTTAGCAATGTAAGAAAATATAAGAAATAAAAGGAGAGAAGGTGAATCAATGAGTGATCTCTCCCCTGTCAAACAAAAAAGAAAATTGAGCTTCCCCTGCACTGTTTGGTTGTGATCATTAAAATAAAAAGTGCTTTGGAAACACATTATTTGGCATCTGTAATGTTAAGGGCTTGCCAACATTTTTGAGATTTTCAAATGGGCCATGAGTTGGAAAAGTTTTGGGAACCACTGCATTACCTCACTGATCACCTGTGGGTAATACTCTGGTGTCTGCAGCTGAGAGAAGCACTAGTGTAGTCCCGCCTCCCACCTTGTTCACTGCACCGCCACGCGACAGGCCACCAAAACAAAACATGTTTGGAACTTTTACAAAGTGTGTGAGGCTGATATAATGTACATGCATGCCAAAGATGATCGATATTGGCCGTGAATTGGCCGATCTCACTCATCGATGATCGTATCGGTGGCAGAAAAACATGATGTCGGCATCCCTAATTTACATTCATATCACCATCCTAGTTTGAAGTACAATGAGTTTGAGGTGATAGTAGCACACACAATAGGAATAATCTTACTTAAGTGAATAAAGTTAGTAGAGTGAGATAAGAAAGGAAAGTGGGGAGAGAGAGAGAGAGAGAGAGAGAGAGAGTAAAAGACAAAGAGATGAAGAAACAACAGAGAGAGTAAAAGAGTAAAAGAGATGAAACAGAGGTGGAAACTTGGTTGTTTACATTGTAAAGTTACTGTTAATTAGGAGACAATTCAGGTCATGATTCTCCACCTGGTATATGCAGAAGACCATTGGTATAGATGAAATACTTCTTCAGCCAAGCAGGACAAGATTTGGCGAGGAGGTTCGTCCAAAGCACAGTTCTAGCTGTATCTCCATCCCACTCCAGTTTAGTGGTTTCAGCCTGGGGGTTTGCAGCGATCCATGTCTCAGTCTCCTGGTCAAATGTGAGGAAGTCTTCTCCATTATAACCATATTGTAGAAAACCATCAAGCTTTTCTGTCTCATCGTCCCATTCACAGCCCCAGTACTGCTGGATAATGTGAACACCTGAGACAGACAGAGACAGAGAGAGCAGTAAACCAGAGTGAGATTCAGCACAGTCAGCTGCAGGGGATATGACATCATTACTGAAGAGATGAACTGTCATTGTCTACTGATCAGACTGAATTTCACTGCAACTCCATTCTTACAATTAATATTTGGTATTTAGTTTCACTATTCAGCTAATTATGTAACTCCTAATCATGCTCCTCTTTTGTTCGGACATTCCTGCAGCTATTACCATGTTCACATCATGTCCTTTAAACCGTAATTACAAGCAGCTGAGCAGGAACAACCTTTCTCGTCTGCCTCTGACTGGTAATTCTGAGTTGGAGAGTCAGGAATTTTGGACACCGACAGTGTTGCAGATTCAATGAAAACAACTACAGATATGTGAGCAAACCTTTGGCACAATGGCTGCAGACACTCTACTTCTGGCAGTTACATCAAAATAGAATGTGCAGCTGTTGACACAGATTTCTTGAGTTATTGACCGACTCATTAGACTTATTCTTGTGTAATCAAATGGAAAAAAGAAATAAACCAGTAAATGAGGGAAAACATTTTGTCAGAAACATACCTCCAGTTTGGTTTGAGTCCTGCTTGAAACTGTCTGTGTCAACTCTGAAGACCTGCTCATAATGTATGCCGTCCTCAGAAATCGTGTCCCAGTGTTGCGGATCATCCACCATTAATCTTCTTGCCCAGTCGTGTCTGGGTTCTAGCGTTTTCATGTTGGTGTCATAGTAAACCATCACAACTTCCTCAAAGTTTGCCATAATAAAATAATCAGGGATGTTTTGGTTTCCAGAAGACATCATGATGTAAAACCTCATGAAGTGTTTGACTGTAGGACAAAGATGATTTGAGTGATTTGTATTTGTTCTATTTTTTTATAAACATTATTTCATGGTTCAACTAGCTGTCAGTCATATTTATACTTTGACACAACCTGTAGTTGTTCTCCTGAGATCCAAATATCAGGTTCTACAGCAGAGGGACTAGATTTCAGAAAACAACATGTGGACTGTTTAAGACACATTTGGCTGGAGCCAGCACTGGTTAACTCATGTGCTGACATTTTGGAGAGAGTTTGTGAGTTTAAAGGCAACTTAAGGTTTATAACTGCTATGCAGATATATAACAGTGTCATCGGCGTACATTTGATTTTGGAGCACAACAAGCTGATTAAAAGCTGAAAATTAAACGATAGAATTTAATTAGTAATACTCTGTGATTGGCTATGTCAACAACGCTTTGCTGAGAACTATAAACACCACACCCAACAATGCCCCATTTATCTAATACAGATTTGAATCTCACCTGTGAGAGATCAAATTTACCAGTTTTATGTTTGAGATTTTTTCTGACTGATTTATCTTCCTAATTGATACTGAAATCCCCCATGATAATGACCTCATTCTGAAAATTACAATCTCTTAACATATTTTGAAACTTTGCATTGAACATTATTTGATAAAGGTGGGTGATATATAACAATGAGGTTATTTTTCTTTAGCCTACAGTTATTAGGTTCACTTTACACATTTTTATCTGTGAACACATACAGTACCCTTGGGTTTATGGTTAGACTGTATATGTAATTAATTACAGTCTTGCCAACAAATCAGATTAAAGTATAAATATGTATATACATGTATATCATGATCTTACCAGGAGATGCTTTGTGGCAGAAGAGGAGTAGTATCATGACCTTCTCCATCTTGTTAATAGAGACAGAGCTGAAGAACTGACCTGAATAGTCACTTAGTTTCACTTTGTAGTTTGTTCCAAAGATGTTTCCTGGTTGTATTAAATTCTATGACTCTTAAGGTGTGTTCATCTGTTGGGAGAGACTCTCTACAGGTGAACAAAGGCTTAAAAATTAATATTATTGTGTGTGATCCTCTTACCTGTAGTGTTGCTTTCGTCAACGAAAATTACGACTAAATATCTTCGTCAACGAACCTTTATCACGTGACGAAAACGAGACGAGACGCAACGTAAATGCTGGTCATGTGACAATAACTGTAATTAAATATATAATGCAATATTGCTGACGAATAAAAACGAGACTAAATGTGGTTTACAAAATAAAAACTCTGCTAAAATGTCTCTTCATTTTCGTTGACTAAAACGAGACGAGACGAAATGTTATAACGTCATTTCGACTCGTTTAGTCGAGTTATTATTATTTTGCAGTATTTCTGTTTCCTGTGTCTCACATCATCAGGTCGCACTGCGCCGACGCACGCGACATCACTTCCTCAATCCCCACTCGCGGGCGTTTGTGTAACAACCAGTTTTAAAATCACACATCCAAGAGGTTACAGTTTATATAGTTGCTGTTGAGACCGCTGGTTATTTGGTTCAGTAGTTGGCATAATTCAGTACTGTCTGTTTTCTGTCAATGAATTCCACTGTATGCAGTCAGTGCTTCCCATCCCATTATATCTCTCTAAGGTCCAAACCATTTGTAGTGTAATATCTTTTAATAGTTTTTATGATGCAAAATCTGTCTTCAGTTTACAAGCAATACAAGACAGACACACACATGTTATTTGCACTTTTTATTATATTATTGTAGCTCGAGCATTGAAGCACCTTGTTTCTCTTTGTTAAACTTGAATGTATTCAATTTTTTTTTGCATTGTCATGTGATGCTATTTTATTTATTTATTTAATTTAAATTTATGTGTGTGTACTAACATGTTTGGTTGGTAAAATAAATATGTTGTAAATTCAAATCAGAGCGTCTTGTGTGTCTGGAATGGATGTATTCTTGAGTCTATAAGGTAACAATAATATAATAATAAGATAACCTTGTTTGAACTGTGAAATGAGTTTGGCTAAAAGAAAATTTTGGTTTTGTCGATACTACTAGGTACTTATACTATACTGGGTTAAATAGAATTGCATTACTAGAAAGAGACTAAAATAAAATTTTCATTGACTAAAACTAGACTANNTTATTATTTTGCAGTATTTCTGTTTCCTGTGTCTCACATCATCAGGTCGCACTGCGCTGACGCACGCGACATCACTTCCTCAATCCCCACTCGCGGGCGTTTGTGTAACAACCAGTTTTAAAATCACACATCCAAGAGGTTACAGTTTATATAGTTGC